CACATGTTTGTGTGTACCCGCGTTTATATATAATGTTTATTATATTGTTCCATTCTTGTTTCTTTCCGGATTTGAATCAGGCCTGCATAATTTGTTGTTCTCTATGTACTGCTTGATAACTTCGCGCTCTGTTTTGCCTTTAAGGGACGAAGGCCGGAGAGTACGATTGGGATGCCGAAATTGTGGTCTTAGATGCCCATTTATATCTGTACGCGGTGCTCCTGCATCTAGATTATTAGTTCGTCTATATCCATCTCCTGATAGACAATAATTATGTAGCTTAGCTAGAACTGTAACAACTCTTGGAGCGCGTTTAAAATCTAAACGCAAGGGTTGCTATAGAAGGCCCCATTTTCGGACCATGATTCCAAAGGCCTGCTCGATATGCATGCGAGATTGGGACTGGAAATAATTTTATGCGTCCCATGCATCGCCCAATGCTTCACGAGTGCCAGGATAGGGTGAAAGCATATGCTTGGTACATCTGTAGGCTGCATCACCCAGTACGTAGTAAAACATGGGTAAATTCTTCACTAGCAGGTCAAATCTGCTATATTCCCAAGCTCGACGATCATGCATACTACCATATACCATGATAGAAAATACAACAAACTTATAGTTTGCATCACACATGGCTTGGGCATTCAGCCCAAAACCAGTCTTATGTCCAGAATATAAACGACGCCTATACTGACATCTATTTAATGGAGGAAAAGCTACGCGCACAAATAAGCCATCGGCGACGGCAACACAACGGCAAATCACCCCGTGAGTAGAGTGTGATTTGAACTCTTCTGCTACTTTGGCAATCTCTTCTTCTTCTTTTGGAAAGCTGAAATACAGGAAACTCAAACCATCAATTGCGTATAAAACTTTCCAGAATATGTAGTAAACAGCAGCAGAAGAAATCCTAAACGCAATTTTAATATCTTGGTATTTTCCGCCGGCTGCTATACGCAGGAAGACAGCAAGTTGTACCTCCACATCTATTGCACTTCCTCTCAACATGCCCATACTTTTGTTTCTTCTGCATGTTTCATTTATCTCACGTGCAAGAAACAAAAACTTTGGGTACTTCATACGAAAAGTGTTCTCAAAGCTGCGTTCTGCTTGTAGCAGAGCGCAGAGTGTTTGCCAGTTCGCGCGAGTACGAGCAACAAGCGTCCCTCTATTGTACTTCACCTGAAAGCTGGAAAGTTCGTCACCCACTCTATCCCTTTCCATTGCTCTCAGCAGCAAGTAAAGTTTAGACAGCATCACTCGTCGCTTGTGTGTTACCGCCTTGTTCTTTAAGAGCGACATTGTTATTATGAACTACTTCCTGTTTATAGTATAGTACACTACAACCAACAGAAGATTCATGAAGTATGTATGCAATGATGTACTGTACTCTAGTATACTATAACAAACTAAAACTAAAAAGTATGTTTACAAAATGTGAAATTGTCAAAACGGCTCACACAACGATGCTTTGACACTCAATATTCTACCATATTGCAACCAATAGAAAGACGCAGCATTGCTCGTATATTTTGAGCGGCATAGGTATACTAATTTTATTGGATTTCATCAACCACTAGGATGGCTTTATTCTCAAAATTTACGGTTTCAATTCCAACGGCTGGGATGGCAAAAAAAAACTGAGCCAAGGACCGTCGCAAAAGTACCCTTTAATTTTATTTACTTTTAATGGAGACCTCTCGTTAAGAACCACCCTTAGTCAGGGTCCCAGCTCCTGGGTCCTTGACTCCATGCCCTTCTGTCTCTAGAGCGGCATGTGTTAGGTTGTCCTGGCCTGGAGTAGTGTCCAATGTTCTGTCCCTAGGGCTGGACTGTCCGATCCTCCAGTGACCTTCCGCTACTACACTCGCAACGATTTGTAAGAACCGAACCATTTCACTAAAGACGTACCTGGAGCGAGCCGTAGTACATTTCACAATTCTCCGTTTTATTCACTTCTCACCAAAAGCATGTAGCGAGTCTCTCTTCTTCTCTTGAAAGTATAGAGTCATTTTGATTTACTCTGACGATGTACAAGATCCCTCAGACGACTCGAGAATATGCTAAAGAGTGTTGACATGGCGTATTTGTGCGATAACTTGTATAATGCACGGAGATGTTCATAGGTTGAGAAACATGTGTCCCGAACCCATTTGGTGCGTACCTATACTGATTGAAATAATTGCAGAGCGTTTCCCTGCTCCTATACGAATGGTTATTGGCTGCAATCAACTACAATACTCGTGTTAATACACTAATTCTGCTTACGTCAGTCAACCCGTGCAAAACAAAAGAAATACAAAACAGCAGAGGTATAAATGATACACACACGTAGGTGTGCATACATGTGACAATCCCTTCTGCTAGTATACGTGAGCTTCTACTGAATTAGTTTTTTTGTTTTTAAATTTAGGTTGGCGACCTACTTAATACTGCACTACGCTGAGTAGGACAAGCTTCAAGCGCGTCGAAGCAATACCTCCCTCCCTCGGGTGCTGAATGCCCTTTAATTTCCCCTAATAACTGACTCGACACTCCTGACACTACAACGTCGTTGATCCAGCCATCCATACTCACATTGTCAATAATTCGGCCGCGTAATGCCCTACTAAATCTAAGAAAAGCTCGACTCCAATTGCTTGATGCTGTGTACACAGCCGCTTGTGCATACACACTCACATAAAAATTAATCAGAGAGTTCTTGACCTCGTGGGCCTGGAAATCAGTGTCACTTCGGCTACGCATCATGCTCTGCAAAGCAGCCCCTTTTCGGTCCGTTCGTGTGTAACTAAACGTCCAGTGGTGTGTATAATCATCAAGCGTCTCCAGCGCTTTATTATCTTCGGTAGACAACACGATGTGTTTCAGTTGTGGATTACTATCTCGTAGGTTGTCGGCAGCTTGCATGTACTTCGAAAAAGGCACACACTCGGCCTCCTTACCCTGTTCATTCTCCCAACCGCATTTGTCACCCCATCTCACGTGCATTGTAATGTACGGTTCATATCTGCTGACCTTCCCCGTTGATATACGCCACTCTGAACCCTCCCTCCAGAACTCATCCACCCAATCACTCACAATAGGCAAAGGTTGTAGCAAGAAAAACATGACCTGGGAAGTTAACCACATATACGACTGTCCCAGATCCGTAGCGAGAGCAATGTTTGACACATTTCGCGAGTTGTAGTCCCACGTCACTTTTTGCGTGGAAATGTCCGTGGTAGTGTTCTCTGCGATATCGTGTGGGAGACATCGATCACTCCTGGAAAAGTAGCAACTTTCACTTCCCTCAGGACACGTGTCCGTTTTGTAGAAGTGGAAAGGCCCTTCATCCTCCCACAATCTTACAAATTTATCTGTGTCCAATGAGCGCATGATGCCTCTTGTATATGTGTGCCATCTCGAACCCGTTCCCGTGCCCGTCTTTCGGACCGAAAAAAACCAACCTTTATTACATTCCAGGTCGCACATCTGGTGTTTGAAGATAGATGCAGCAGCTACACACGTTAAGTTACGAACAGATATGGGGACCTCCTCTTCGGTCTCTAAAACTGTGTAGTGTTCCCAAAAGCCATGTTGATCAAGGCATACACGGTCTGATTCCGAGACAAACTCGCGGCATCTTTCCACCCACTTCTGAGCGGATCTGGGCATGAATATGGGATCACCGCTTGTGTTTTTGTACGTTGAGTAGTAATCAAAGCTCGTAAGTATATTTGTTTTCAAACTAAACCAAGCGAACAAGCAAATTGTTACTAAGACAAACAGTATTTTAGGATTTAGGATTTTGGAAAACTGACTTGGTACGCGGCAGTGATGATGCGTATCCATTTTGCCGTCATTTAAATTGTGCGGCAGCAGTCGTACATAAGATGACCCATTGTCAAAGATAGAATATTTCTATCGCAACAGTTCTATATCTAAAATTCAATGTTAGTTGTAGCAAGTGCAAGACCTAATCTATCAACGTATTCTGAGCCACAAGAGCTGGTCGAGCGATTTTTAGTTATTCGTCTGTAGTGAAAACTATTTTTACGTCATATCTAATACCAAGAGACCTGAAAACAAGAGAGATTCTCTTACTTTTTTTTCTGAAAACAATTATACTATTTTTAGCCGTAAAATATTCAATTTTTTGGCGCGTAGTGCCGAGGTAAAAATAGCGGGTTCCTAATAGTAGTTGCACAGGTAACGTATTTTATAAACGTATATACGTATATACTTAAAATATTGGAATACGTTTAACGAATTGGACACGAACAAGAATTCAAGATTTTGAACATGTGATAGTACTCAGTAGAGTATGGGACTCTACTGTGGACAATTAGGTTGTTTTCCAAATATAGATGGTTTTTCCACTGAAATTAGAATTTTACATAATATAGGAACGACATCAATCTGACACCTGAAAATAGCACTTTGGGAATCTCTAATTAACGGGAGCACCATGAGAGAGGGTCTCAGGCATGAAATGGTTGTTGGTACAAACCTATGGCATAATTCGATAATAATCTCAGAGCAAGATAATCCACTGAGAAAAGGACAGGATCAGAGTTGTTAGAATTTAGGACAACATGGTTTTGATTCCTCCTAGCCAGCCAACTAGATGTGCCCGTCTATGCCTTAAATGGGATGGAGAGCTAGGTATCAAGTGATGGGGTTTAGGTGCAGATGTATACTGCACCGACTTGGTGTTTTGATTTTCTTTTTCTTTTCTAAAGTTGGACTTAGAGATATTTTATTGGTTAGTTTGAATTGGTAATTGTTTCGAGGCGTGAAATGTAAACTATGCATCCAATGAAATGATATCTAGTCTTAATAACTAAAACATAAATAAATCTAGACCGAAGTAGTGAGTGATTAGAGCGGAGCATATAGACAATAGTCTCAGTCTAAAATCCCCTAATCTTTTGCTCATTACCAACGGCTGAAGCTAAATTTATTTTACATTTTGCATTTTAACGTATTAACGTATTGTCATATTAACGTAAACGTCTTGGTATCGTATAGTCAGCCTAGAGGAGACCGACCTTTACATATTTTTGTCTATAATACGCTATCGATATTATGACGAAAGGAAAAAATAAGGCAGCGAATGTAGCTAAGGCTACAAACGTGAAAGGGTTTCCTGTAGGCGATGAAAAGCAGAAAATACCCCCGGCACCATCAGTGGAAGCTGAAGCAACTAAGATCACGCAGGTACAACCGGTACCAACTCTGACTAAACGGAAACGTAAGAAGTTGGTTGACTCGGGTGTAGGTGCATCCGGAGGGAATGTGACTACGGAGCCACAGAAGCCACCAGCGAAGAAGGCGAAATCTCGAAAGGGAAATGCCGAGAAACCGCAATCTTCGGAAAATTCAACTTCAGAGGAAGTGCGACATGCACTGGAATCAGATGTATCATCTCCACCAGTGGACACGCACACAGAATGTAAGCGAGATCCTATTTATCATATGATAGCAAGGCATAGGAGAGCCTTCCTGAAGGACTACCAACCAATGGTACATGAAATGAGACCTACTAAGCAGCGGAAGAAAAAGCAAGCCGCAGCGAAGGAACAAAGTCATGGTGAATCAGGGGAGGATGACTCGGGGGATAAATAGCACAAACACTGTTGGATCAATCCCTAATCAACGTAACGGACGAACAACTGTGTTTTGTGGATATAGGTCCGAGTGATGTGGACCATACACTTCACAATCAGGATGACGATTCAGAAACTAGGTTGGACTCCAATTCCTGCGCTTACCCAAAACACCACTCCGACCGGCTTGGCGACAGAACTTTGATCTGGGCCATCCATACCAGATTCAGCTTGATATTCAGAAGGAGAGTCACAAGAGTTGATCCAACAGCGCGCCAACAGGGCATGGGTGTTTCGACATACGTAAAGAACGTACTTTCCGGACACAATGGAGACCAAACCGGATGGTACCATCTCACCCAGGTATGTGATGAACGCAGTGGTAAGAAAGTTTGGGTATGTTTTGTTTTGGGATTCTAAATATTACAATCGGCTAATATCAATAAAAACTGACGAAGGTAAGCAAGCACGCAAAACTTTCCGTCTGTTTCAAAGATACTACCGAAGGTATTCGGAACTAGGAGAGATGGAAGTTTTGCACACTGAATTTGTTACGCAATTCAGGATCTTCTTGGACACATCCCCGACTTGATATCAAACCATTTAGTACTCTATCAAGCCATATTGGCGTTTGACATGTTGTCAGACAATGGATGGGCAAACAAAATCCGATCTTCATCATCCGAAGCTCAATCTTCTCCTGAATTAGACGCAACAGTAATGTCGCGAATGGCATCTGAACAGGAGCCTAATCCGAATCCACCACCGGAAGGAAATCCACATAGTGCCCCAGAAGTATTTCCGAAGGATAAACCGACCGAAGAGCCTAAACCTGATCAGGTGGAAGCTAGAAAATCTTTGTCATCATCGGGAGACAGATCGCCCCCAGCGACTATCTCAACGACGACAAAAGATTCTGTCCCATCAGAAGCGTTCATTTACATAGAACAGATCGATGGATCAATAAATGAGGCAGACAATTGACTGCATGGTCAGAAGCAGTTAGAAGAAAAGAGACCAGATCACTCCAGTAGTGATCTAAAAAAAAAATTGCTGAATTCACTGTTCAAATAGACAAGGCTGAGGCTGCTTCACTCGAGGCGATGGATCTAGGTGGGATTTATGCCACTAGTTTTTATATTACAATGGCTACGCACCTCCAGACTAAGATTGATTCAGAACTAAGAGTGATTCAGACCGAGAAGGCTGTGGAAGGCAAGAAGTTTGTGAAGGACATAGGTAAACTACTACCGACATACAGATCTGATCAAAAGGACCGGAAAGATCCAATCGATACTAACAGTCTGGCGTTGTTATCTAGGGCTTTGAAAGAGTTTGGATAGATTATGCTTACAGCCAATCTAAGGAAGAACATATGGTTCGAAGCAGCGCAGCAAAGCTTCAAGCCGTCCTCTTACAAGTACAACAAGTTAGAGAAGGCGAAACAAACGATCACTAAGCTGAAAACTTGGAAAGTGCAGAGTGAGATGATCGTCCACTTATTTTCGACGGACCCTAGACCGGAATTGCTTGTATCGATCATGATACCACCGGAAGAAGGAACGCCGGTGTCCCACTACTTATTAGAGTTGAACACACACATGTCGCGGGCCCAGACTCAGGGGATACCACCTGACATACTATCCATGTGTGTTCTATGGGTGCAGACAATCTTTTGGTCAAACCTACATAGGAGAGATCTCCATCGAGGGACCTACCTACGGCATAATGAAGCTAGCTGAATTAATCTGGGCTGAATTTTACTCGAGAGTGGATCAGACGTTTACCAAACGCGCTAGTTCCGTGGTGAAAGTCACTAATGCTCAAAGAAGGTCAGCGGCAATCTTATCGGAAGGTCAGGCAATAGTCGAGACTCTCAGTCCACTAATGGAGGTCAGAAGGTAAACAAAGGGGGTGACAAGGGTGGCAATAAGAACAAAAATACAAATGGTTCTGAAGGCAGCAAGATCAACGTCATCCCCAAGGGTAACCAGACCAACAGAATGAACCGCCGGCAGGCAACCCTAAGCCCAGGCATAGGGAGGACAAGAACTGTAGTGAGACTTATTGCAATTAGCGAATGACCCAACATGAGCCGAATGGCAGATGGAATGGAAGGCATGCAGAAAAGTGTAATCACTTTATCGCGAAGTGTGCCAACTGTACCGGGACTGGAGGTCACCACAAGCATACATGCAAGGTGCAACCAAAGGTTGAGGTTAAGTGACAAAGATACCGGGTCTTGGTCACTATGACAAAAGGACGCACCTCAAGACGAGCGTGTAATCCTTGATATACGAGTTAACGGACATGAAATAAAAGTGTTGTTAGATCCGGGCTCCCAGATTTCATGTATATCCTCCAGATTCTGTAAAATGACAAACATAGCTCGTAAGTCAGAGCCAGCTATATTGAAGCTGGCTGATGAAAGAGATCACTTGCAGAGAATTGGCAATCGATCTTAGGTTTACATTGACAGACCAACGTACTATAGTTACTAAGTCCGTCATATGTAACACTTCACCAGATTATGATTTCATAGTAGGTATGAGTGATTTATTGTCATTAAGTATCATAATTACAGGCTTACCTACTAACATTGAACCACAGAAGGATCAGTCGGACGACAACTTGTTGAAACCGGTATATAAACCTTCGAAGACTATGAAGGAGATGATCCCTCACTTTACAGAGAAACTCAAGGACTTGACTTTCGAGAATGACAAGATTCGGATCACTGACTGGGCTAAGTTCAAATTCAATAACGGATACGTTAGTTTAGACCTAACGAGAGTAGATTTCTCGAAGCTGAGGTGGCCTACACGTAACTATATCACATTGCGTCATGAGCAGGTCGTACGAGAACAAGTTAAAGAATGGTTAGATGACGGAGTGATCGCAATCAACTATGAGCCGACTCCCGTCAACCTAGCGCTTTTAGCCGTCGACCAATTCAACTTTGACGGGACGCTGAAGAAGGTTCGGGTGTGTTTGGAAATGAGCCCAATTAACGCTTTGATACCGACACACAATTTTCACTTACCAAGGATAAACGAACTACTCAGGCGCATGGAGGGAGCTAAGATATTCTCCACTATCGACCTGAAGCAGGGCTACCACCAGATGAAGATCTACAAACCACACCAGAAGTATTTCACCTTTACCTGGGAGGGTCAGCAATATTCGTTCAAAGGTGCCCCCTTTGGGTTACATATGTTACCTGCGTTCTTTCAACAAATTATGCAAGACTTGTTTAGAGACATGGACAATGTACAAGTATACATTGATGACATTGTGGCATTCACCAAAACCATAGAGAAGCACGAAAGAGTTGTGCGAGAGGTTCTAGACAGACTCAACGAGCACAACTTTAAGATCAACAG